AACAAAAAAAAAAACGGGAATGGGAATTCCCCAGGATCCCGAATTTCCGGCTTTTCCAACAGGGAAATATCCATGGAAAAATCCGTCCCGAGGAATTCCTTGGGATGGGGGTGGGGATGGAATCCTGGGGGGGGGATTCCAGGGAATTCTGGGATTGGTTGGGTTGGGAAAAGCCTTTGGAAAAGTTGGAATTCTGGGAGAATCCCATGGAATTCTGGGATTGTCTGGGTTGGGAAAAGCCTTTGGAAAAATTGGAACAATTCCATGGAATTCTGGGATTGGTTGGATTGGGAAAAAGCTTGGAAAAATCTGGAAGAATTCCTTGGAATTCTGGGATTGTCTGGGTTGGGAAAAAGCTTGGGAAAAGTTGGAATCCTGGGGGGGATTCCAGGGAGTTCTGGGATTGTCGGGGTTGGGAAAAAGCTTGGGAAAAATTGGAACAATCCCGTGGAATTCTGGGATTGTGTGGGAAGCTTGGGAAAAATTGGATCCCTGAGGGGATTCCATGGAATTCTGGGATTGGTTGGGCTGGGAAAAGCAGGGAATTCCTTGGGATGGGAATGGGAATTCCTGGGGAATGGGAATGGAATCCTGGGGTGGATTCCATGGAATTCTGGGATTGTCTGGGTTGGGAAAAAACTAGAACCTTGGGGGGGGATTCCATTCCCGGTCCCACCCGGATCCATTCCTGATCCCACCCGGATCCATTCCTGATCCCACCCGGATCCAGTCCTGATCCCACCCGGATCCATTCCCGATCCCATCCGATCCATTCCTGATCCCACCCGGATCCATTCCCGATCCCATCTGATCCATCCCCATTCCTGATCCCACCCGGATCCATTCCTGATCCCATCTGATCCATTCCTGATCCCATCTGATCCATTCCCGATCCCATCCGATCCATTCCTGATCCCACCCGGATCCATTCCTGATCCCATCTGATCCATTCCTGATCCCACCCGGATCCATTCCCAATCCCATCCGATCCATTCCTGATCCCACCCGGATCCATTCCCAATCCCATCCCATCCATCCCCATTCCTGATCCCACCCGGATCCATTCCCGATCCCATCTGATCCATCCCCATTCCTGATCCCACCCGGATCCATTCCCAATCCCATCCCATCCACTCCCATTCCCGATCCCACCCTGATCCATCCCTGGCTCCATTCCCAGCTCTCCATCCCACCCAGATCTATTCCCATTCCCGATCCCAATCCCATTATTCCCATTATTCCCATCCCCATTCCCATCCTCATTCCAATCCCCATTCCCATTCCCACCATTCCCGTCATTCCCATTATTCCCATCATTTATTCCTATTATTCCCATTATTCCCACTCCCGTTCCCACCATTCCCAATCCCATTCCCGCTCCCATTCCCATTGTTCCCATTATTTCCTTTATTCCCGTTGTTATTCCCGTTGTTATTCCCATTGTTATTCCTGCCGTTATTCCCACTGTTATTCCCATTTTTCCCACTGTCATTACCGGCTGTTCCCATTGTTATTCCCGCTCCCATTCCCGCTGTTATTCCCGTTATTCCCACTGTTATTCCCGTTGTTATTCCCAATCCCATTCCCATTGTTCCCACT